GTAATGTTGATTACAATACTTTCAGAACTTTTCAGAGCTGTTATTTCGCTTTTTTAAAAAATAATTGGCTCTTCTCAGTCATTCAGCAGATGTGTTCTTATGAGTGTAGAATTTTAATAAAAATAACCAAAAAGAATTTAAGTTCTGATAATAGCTTTTATTATTCATACTGTTTTACGACTGTATTATTTCTTTGGACTTGAAATGAAAATTTTTGCTACACTGTTTTCACCTTGGAGTTGCATGAGGAATTTTTCGGTATTGCAAAAAAAATAAATTAGCATAAAAACAGTAGGATCACAGACAAGGTAGAGAAATTTCAGCACAAGAAGTGAAATTTTGAATCAAAATCTTTTTAAAAAGTTTTTTTTGAATCGAAATTCATGATTTTGTTTGGAAATGGAAACGAAAAACTATGTCATGCAATTGAGAATCTTATTTTTGAAAACGAAATAAGCTGTTTACACTTTGCTACGTTAGAATCTTCTTCAGCAAGTGATAAATTGCAAGAACTCATAATAAAAATCGGCAGCGGGAATAAGAAAGCGGTATGATTCAAAGGAAAGGAATTCAAAATATGACGTGAAAAGCACAGGAAATGTGAGCTTCATTAATGAATTTGCACACGATAGAGGCTGTCGGAATCTCATTACAACTGATTCACACTTTTCGCCCTACAATGATTTTGCAATGGACAAGCTAATATGCATAATTTGGTGAAGGAATAATAAATGCTTATTATCAATAATGAACAAAATGGAGGCACAACAGAGCATTGACAAATGCCTCGAAAATCAAATCCTTTTTAAATATTACAGACGGAATTTTAAGTTTTTAGGACAGGAAGCTTTAATAATTATCTTTTTTCAACTTCAAGCTTCAAATAAATATTAGAATATGGCCATTGTAGCAGAAAAAAGGACTACATGGCTTTAGCATATTGAAAATGAACTAATGGTCAGAATTTGATTGAATGTGTAATGATGAAAGATTGAACAGCTAAAAATTTTGTGGGATATTTCTTCCATCGATGCAAGCACCTTTAGCAAAATGTTATCTTCAGGCAAAAATGATTATGCTGCTAAGTAATTAGCTTTGAACTGTGAAATTAGCAAAGAAAAGGGGCCAATAGGCAAACGAATAATCTACTCGGTACTTGTTATATAGAAATTTGATTGTCTGGCGCAAGACAGAAAAGATAGTTGCTCGAAATATAAATTTTTGTTTGGCAAAATGACATAAGTCCGTTGAAAAAACGAGCGAAATTTTGTGATTAGTTTGCAAATTTTATCAAGCAAATAGCTCTTTCAAATAGTATATATGTTTACAGACAATTTATTGCAAATTACGTAAATAGAGAATAAAAAACTCCGAAATTCTAAAACGTAGACACAAGTAAAGTGATGGAAATGAATGCCTTCATTGATTACAACAATCATTTCTTATTTGATCTATCGAAATGGTATTAATTTTGCACGGGAAATATTATTAAATATTCGTTTGATCAAAATTATTTTAGTAAATATAGAAGTAAATGTAAAATGATTCGCATTCATCCTTTCATGCACATCCTTTATGCAAATTTTTGCATCTGGAACTGAAAAACACTTCTGATCAAAAGGGAAAATTCTGGTTGAATGATTCTTGAATTGTTATTCACTTCGTTCACAACAATCATGAGAAAGAAGAACCTTTAACTAAACATAGCAAAGTGGAGTAGGAAGAAGACAGAACTATTATTGAATATATAAAATCAAAGACGCACTTGACCGCATTCACCTTTGTTGACACTGCAGAGATACTTTCTTGGTTTCGCAGAACGAAACGTGTAGCAAAATGTGCATTTTGTTTGTTTTACAAAGCAAAAGCTTGAAATGGAAGTGAGATTTGTTCATTTTTCAAAATTTTAACTCTAATTTGAAAATAAACAAATCCCTTCAAATGAACAGCACATTACAGCGCAACTTATTCATGCAGATTTGTATGTGCACGTCTGTTTCAAAATGGAAAAATAATTTCACTGAATTAGTACAGGTTTGCTTTTCATTCACTTCATTTAGCATATTAAACATTTAGATTATCTATTTAAAAAGTACAGAATTGAGTCAATTTGTTTCGAATATATCGTTTCGAAAAAGATGCTGACGTTAAGTTTCTTAATTTCAGATAAGATTATGCACTTGACAAACGACTGAACTATTTGTAAAACGATATGAGATAAATGGCAATTATGTGCTATCAAACAATTGAAGGAACGAAATGAGATGACTAATTTCAATAATTTTAATATTTGGCCTAAAATTAAGCGAACAATTAATGAATGGGGTGAGAAAAACTTGTAAAGCTAAAAAGAGTGTCTTGGAAGAACTGTATATTTCGTGATCACACTGAATCTTGAATTAATTTTACAGGTCGCGAAAATGAATAAAATTTCTATCACTACTTGAGAGCAAATTTGAAATAACTTTTCTATCAGTCACAGAAGTGATTGATATATTTGAAAAAAAAACATTTTATGCAAATTCTGCATCTGTTCTAAAAAAATTTCTTTAGAACGAATACTAATATTTAATGCAAATTACCACCTGTTTAGTAATCTTCACTTGAAAGATTGATAACGGTAATTCATATTACACGAAATTTCAAATTTTATGTTGTTTTCCCTCGAACTGCACTGTATGGAAAATACCGAAAATTTGATACAATGATTAATGCTAGTCAATTATCAGTGATGACAATAATGGCCATTAATGATATAAGGAATGGTTTCGATTTTAGTTACATTTAAGAAATTCTCGAAACTATCATTAAATTTGTTACAAATGTTAGTCAGGTACAGATTACAGAAACGAAGCATTTCCAGTATTCCAGTAAATTTATTTGTCATTACAATAAAAAAATTTAAAGTGAGTGCCAAAGGAAAATGGTTGATTCAGATAAATTAGATATACTACCATTGAATACAGTAACAAACTTCAGTTATAACATACTGTTATGTCATCAAAATATAAATTTACAGTAGTAAATTTGAATATGAGCATCAAACAGAGATTAAGTACGGTAGAAAGTTGAGTTTGTAAATAATAGAAAAAGTTCAGCCAGTCTGCTTGGTTAGTATTTTCTTTATTCAAATTGTGATGAAATGCTAAAATATTGGTTGTCTTTCAAATTTTCAAGTCTAAGAAAATGTTTAAGTTTAAAAAGAAGCTACAGACCATTTTTTTGAATCATGTTTTCATACGCTTCAAAAATTTAGTAGGGCAATTTTGTCTATGAAATTTTAGATTTTAATTGGCTCCTTTCAAACTTCAGCATGTGTACAATTTCATACATGTGCAAAAGTTTATTTTCGCTATTTCATTTGATTTTCAGCATATTTAATTAAAAGAAAATTACATATGAACATTCGTCATTTGTATAAATGGAAATTCCTCATTTGTATAACTATTTTTGTATAAAGTACGGAGACTGTATTCAAGCGCATTTTTAAGTGAAAAGTTAAAAGTGATGTCAGGGTAAAAAATAACAAGCAACTAAGACGATGTAATGAGTTGCTTTGACTTCACAATAAAATTCTTTAACGTCTTAATCATGTTCGTGTCATGCTCTGAATGTAATTTTGATCAGGATTAATTTAAAATAATTTCGGTAGTTTTTTCAGTATTTGTCAAAATTATAGTCGATTTTCAAGTTAATGACTTTCGAATTTAAATATCAAACACTTACTTATTTTAATATACTTGAAATGAAAATAGGAAACTAACCTTTCAACTCGTGATCAATCCTTATTCGGGCAATAGCATTTGGCGAGTATTTCAGCAAACGGTTGAGAAATATCAGACATAAACATATGATTTCAGCATTATCAGATTGTTGAAGTTCATTTGAAATAGGCTCCAAGCAGTAATTTGCACCGATGAAATCCTGAAAGATCAATTACTGAATATAAGTTTTTATCCGTTGAATTTGAAAGCGTAAAATTCTTTCAGCACATTTTGCAACTCAAAAATTTATTGCAATAAATTATTTTATTTGCTTACACGGCAATTAAAATTTCTCCAACAGAAATTTATTCTGTTGGGAATGAGCAGATAGTTTCTATTTCATTAACTTGATTGAGGCAGTAAAGAAATATTGTTGATAGCAAACTGATCAAGCTTGAATTTAGCATGTAAAAGTAATCAACGATTTTTTTACCGCATACCAATATGTTTTCTTCAAAACTTTTCCATTATGATTTCATTTTTAATTCTTCACTGAGACTTTTTGACTGCTAAAGAGCTGGCTGCAAAGTTGAAAATTTAAAATGACGAAAAATATATGGGTATTAGAACCACACCTGCCAACAAGAAAGACATTGGATTGTTACATCAAAGCCATCTTTACATTCAATTAGGCGATTTAGAAGATCAACAATGCCAACTGCATCTGTTCCTAAAACTAACTTGGAATCATTTTATTCTGAACCTATTTCATAGTTTTTGAGTTATTTATTTTTCAAATTTGAAGTTACATTTAAACGCAGAAAACATTTACGTGGAAATTTTCGTACTGTTTACGGAATATTAGCGTGATGTCCAACAAAGAAACATATGACAAATATTTATGTAGCATTTTTGAAATTGCAGTGTACAGTTATTACTGTACCAAAGATCAAATGTATAATATAACTGCTATTGTTTTTAGACATTTTTGAGAGTTAATTTCTTTGTAGTGTAATTGTTATTAATTTGAGTGAGCAGTAGTGCTATATTAGTGTAATAAATGTGGTAACTTGAAAGTAAGCATTTATAGAAAACGAAAAATTGCAGAAATTGATCATATTATAACTTTATTTTTCCATCTCAGTTAATCCATTCACCTTATTCGAATTCATTGCTTTCCTTTACAGAAAAAGCGTTTGGCTTAAAATATTCCAATTAAATATATAATAAAGCTTTTTACTACAAAATGCCATCTGAATCAAAAACTTTTCCGGAAGCTTTCTAGAATATTCCATTTCTGAAATAGCAAGCCAGAAACAAGTTCTTTCTATGTTCGTCACAATTCGTAACAATTTATTAATTTAATTAAATCTGATTTAACACAATATCAGTGTTTCTAGAAAGTAACTAATATAGTGTTGAGTCAAGCAGTGCAAAAAATGAGTCCATAAAGACAAATGATTTTAGTAGTAGTCAAAATATGAAACTGATATACTGAACAACATTAAAAATGTAATTTAGAATATAAAAAACAATGAAAAAAGTGATTTAAAATTCAAAACGATGAATAAATGTATATGCAGTGAAATTTGCACGTAACTGTTATCCTCGCATAGATCTTCAGTTCATAGTTAAATAGTTCAACACACTCTGCTATAAACAGAGAAATATTCAACTATTTACATGAATGTTTTTAATGCCACATTTTTGAAGGAACATTTGTTATGAGCAAATTTTAATTGATCAGTAGCGAAAAGTGAATAACATATATTTTTCAACACTGAAAATAATCACAAAATATGAAAATTTCAACTATTAGCTGTAAAAGATAATATACTTTAAGCTAATATCCTCATGTGTGAGCAAATTTGATGGCACACTTAATGACTCATTCTGAGTTATAACTTATTTTTAGATCTTAATAACGTGATTCTGGCTCATCATCAAGAAACACAAAGTTTTGCTTTTAGTTTCTGCATAAGCCGAAAATTGATTATGATTAGATATAATTATATGAGTAGCCATGATACTAAAGAAGCGACTACAAAAGTGCAAGATGTAAAATTGTGAAAAGTAGCAGTTTCAATGCATTGTGCTGTTACATCAAGTAATCATAGCAGTATGAAGTGAGAAATCGAAAATGAAAACTTTGAGTTGAGGAATTTCTGATTTTAGCAAAGATGGAAATGAAATCTTAAACTGACATATTTGCTTGCATTTCTTCAGTATAGCATCACTTACGCTCATTTTAAACAGTGACTGATCTGCGAAAATTGACTTAACTAATCCAAGTGTTAAACGAAACTTTTGTGTGATTAGCAATGTTATTTTCGAAATTATATTTCGGGAGGAAAAAAGTGCCTTTTAGGAATTAATTTAGATTGAGGAAAAAGAAGTACAATAGCTTTTTTATTTTTGACGTTTTAACAGATTAAAATAAATATATTATTGATAATTCTTATAAATTTCAGTTAAGGCATAAAACGTATAATTAAGTTATGTATAGCTGGTTAAAGCGCAAATTTACAGCTGCACACTGTAATATCCACACAATATTATATTTTGTTATCAAAATATTTACGTACACTGCAATAATTTGCTGCATTATGGTATAGAGACAAACATAATACTTTGTAGTATTATCCTATCCTAGAAGAATATATTAAATATGAATCGAAAAGAGCAAAAATACCGTAAAGACACTGTGTGAAATACTTTTCAGGACATCGCTGAATCTCCTCCAACAACAAAACATCATCCAATTCAGTATCTGCTGGCATTTTCCATTGGTTTTTATTATTTCGAATAAGAGATTCGTTATCGATATGATATTCTTACCGTACTGATTGGAGTAAATTGGGAAGAATGAATTCGGCAGAATTCGGTAATTCTGTTCAGCTCATTGAAATATTTAAATGAATATCCTGTGTGGGGAGGAGTTTGGTAGGCTACAAACTGCGCCTTTTCCAAAATTTACTCATTAGTACTTGCTCCGTATTTCTGATGCGAATAGCGACCAGCTGCTCTAAAATAATGATTAATTTGTAAAATTATAAAAAAACGGTGATCAAAATTAGTTTTCTTTGCGGTGAGCACAATACGTAATACACACGTGGCCGTATTTGAAGCCGCATTTTGCAATGATACGAAGAAGGCAAAGGTAGAAAAAATTTTTGACAAAGGTATTTCGAGATAAGAAGCGAATAATTTTTTATTTCTTCTACGCTTTAAGAAATAGCGCCACATCTTGTGAAATTAATTTTCGCTGCAGAGAACTGATGTACTCTAACTTTTACACACATACACACATAAACACTCTATGCATACATATGATTGTGAATAATTACTTATACATTTAGTGTACTGAGCAGTGACCGGTACGGTCTTCCTCAATTGCTGTGAAAAAGCGTTCCATCGCAGCATTTGCTGTGGTAGATTAGGCATGTAAGACTTCATTTGGGCTCTGGTTATTTTAGATTCAAGCCACATTCAATACAGCATTTTGAAGTGCTTTAAATAATTTTAAGCAAATTTATTCAAAACTTTAAGTTTTTAAATTTTGGCTTTTTAATCAAAAAACATCATGCACTAGATTCAAATGCCCTTTCTTAAATACAAATTTGTAAAAGAAATTTTAATACATTGTGATGCAAAATTATTCATTATTCACTTTTTAAAGTTCATAGGCATCTCTGAGGTTATTTTCGAATGACAATAGAATAAACTTAATTTGGTAAATTTTGTAAAATATTTTTGTAATCTATGTTTTCATGATATCATTAGCTTTATCAAATTTATAAAAGTAATTTTGATCAAATATTAATATATTGCTTAATTTTTGTGAAATTACTGAATAAGCCAGGACGTAAATTAATATGTCTAACTAACAATATAAAAACAAAAATGAAACAAAGAGACAGAAAACGAAATCTTTTATTAGAAAGTAAAGCAAGTAAGAAGCTTGCGAAAATCCAAATGAAATACAAAACGCGAAGTTACTAGACACAGACACAAAAGCATCGAAGCCACCAGTGACTTTACTGACGAATGATTATCTGTTTTTGGCAACATGAACATGCGAACTGGAAGTAGTGTGATAAAAAATCAAAGAATCACAAATTTTGCATTTATTTCTGAGACAATTTCAGATTAGGCATTTATTTATTCATCTCAGAGATGCATCTTTACATTCACGCTCGAAGAGCGCTGCGAACATTCACTGCAGTCATTTTCGATGCTTTTGGCTGCTGCTATTAATATGTGCATTTTATGGCAAAAAAAACGCTTATGTCAGTGATAAAAAAGAGCCATCAACATTTCAGATAATAATTTGAAGATAATTTCTGTAATGCATTTCAGAGCATTTCCTGTATGTCATCAAGCAACGCATCTAGTTGAGAAGAATAGAAGTTAATGGCGAGTTGTGTTAAAGTGAATGGTCAAATTTTACTTTCGTCCTCAAGAAACAAGTCAGTATGTGTCTGATACCATTATTGTTCTACTGCGCATTTTCCAACTCCTAAAGTTGGCACGCTTACGCACAGCACTCCACACTATACTCCTAATTCAGTGGTCTGGTCAGTTTCTCCTCATTCTTCTCCCATCTACGAAAACAGCTCTCTTTGTACTTAATGCGATCAGAATGAACTTTTAGCAGTTGCATCAGAAAGCAAATCAATAGATAAATAAAATGGTCGATAAAATATTTAGGATATTATTGCTGGAACAACGTGGACTGCAGGAGCGTCCTTATTAGTACTTATAAACCCTTAATGAGAAAAATTTTGACAAGATAAAAATGGAGATGAAAATATCGCCACTCCTAGAAATTTCAGCTTGTATTAATCAAAATATGAGTTTGATAAAGTTGAAAATTTTGACTGAAGAATAATTATGCGGAATTATTTCGAAGTGCTGAGGTGGAGCAATGTATTAAAATTTAGGCATTTAGCTGTAAATGATGATAAATGACTGAAATTTAATTCTTAAATAGCGTTTCTGCAGCAATTGTTTTGTACAGTACTGAAGTTAGTTTAAAAATTTAAGAAGCGAAAAATCAGATGAACGTATTTATTTTGCAAAAAATTGCACAAAACTGAGAAAAATGATTACATCCTTGGACTGGTTAAAAGAGACCAATAACCAATATCCTTCAAATTTCATCTAATAACGAATAAATTCGTTTAAATATGAAACAATCAATAAAAATTATATTGTTATTAAGATTTTGAACGCTAAATAAAGGTGAAACATAACTTTTTCATAGAATTTTTCCCAAAATCATTTGAAAGAATTAAAAATATGGGATATTTTTTCAATTTCTTGCAAAAACTTCTCGAAATACTTGTCTAATTACTGAAAATACTAACAAGGCTAATGGCAAGCAATAAAAAATGCTTGTTACATACAGAAAATTGCAAACTACAAATAACTATGGCACTGAATGTTTTGAAAAAGAAGCTTATGGTGTGTCAAGGAGACTGAAACGCTGAATATTGCAAGAATGGAATCTTCTGAGTACATTCACTGCAAGCAGCTCATAAATTCGTATGCTCGCAAAAATGTTTATCGTACATTTCCATGTCTGTAAGCAAAAACGTGCATAAAACGAAGCACAAATAATGTTTACCAAATGTATTTGTATTTTTTGTTCTACAACACTTTGTCTGTGCTTATTTACTTTGTATCTTCCACATTATTGTATTATCAATCGATCAACGACCGCATTCAATTCATTTGCAAGCTTTATCAGTTTTCACGAATTATTATCAAGTATAAATGATTACTCTCCTGATATTTGAGCACAAAACCTTTCAAACTTTCAATATGCTATTTTGATTTCAATTTCTCTAAGCTCGTTTTACTACTTTCTTATAACTTAGGCAATTATTCTCCGGTATTTACCACTGAAAAATTGCACAAACCAGAAATTTAGAATCAGATATCATCAATGAAATATTTTATATTTCGTCACAAACTAATTCTCAACATTATCAATCGTTTACTTTTCAAAATTTTTTTCCGTGACTTATAGTAATGTTTTATGGCGCTGTGATTAATTATTCACAAGGGAGATCACTGAACCTTGTTCTTGTTCTTGTCCTTTCCTGACCTTTCCAATTAGTAATTGAAAGACTTTTTTTAATTATTCGAAAACATGGATCGAAAAATAACTCTATTCCAGTGGTTGTTCGTCAAAATTCTCAATATGATGAGTATACATTTTTATTGTCATGTAAATTTCTTATCTACTTCCCATTTTATTTATTTTTTTTGGATCACAAACTACAGTGATGATGTTTGAAGAAGAAATAGAATTCAAAATTAATTGAATCCAAAACTCAAAATTTCTTTTGATCATGAAAATATGTCATATCACTGATAATGAAATTAATCGAGTTAATGAAGCCTGTTCAAATGCCTAAAGTAAGATATTTGAAATGAGTCCAAAAATACATCAGGTTGAAAAAAGATGCATAAAATACTTTGTATTACTAAAAATTTCTATCAGAAACAATTTTCGATAAATGCACGCATTTCACAAGTAATAAGATAGATTATATAACAAAACAGCTACAATTCAAGCAAGTTTCTGTTTTTTATGTGCTGAAAATGGATTCTTGTATCGCATTTTAATCAAAATCGAAAGAGATTTTTGTCCAGGAAGTAAATGCATTTACTAGTTGACAGAAAAATTTTTTCACTGTCGAAAACTGATAATGCCATCAAATTCAGATTTGAAATTAGAATTATCGAAGAAATAATGCTTGACTTTTGACATATTATCTCCATCTGAAAAATTCATCTGACATAATAAATATAGTGAAAATGAGTGATTAAATCATCTAGCAATCCAGAACTTTGAAAGCTAAAAAAATTCATTGAATTCAGGAATGCCGAAGCAGTTTTCGATTTTAAGAGACCTAAAACTTTAAATAGTTGATAATTAAAGAATGAATATAGAAAGAAGACAATGCCAGATATTTTAGTTGTATGCTCCAATTTTGCTAGTACTATCGAAAAGGTATGATTTAGTTGCATATCAAAAAGTTATAGAGAAAAAATTCAAAGAATATTTGTGTAAAAATCAAAATTTTGAAGGCATCGAGACTCAAAGTTGTCAACTGCCATTAGAATTGAAATTGCTTCATAATTTCTCGCATCTTATTGTGAAAATAATTATTCAAGGTAAGAAGAAGTGAAAGAAAAGAATAATTTGAGAAAGTAATTGCTGTCATTGGGAAATGCCACTCTTGAATGTGATGACCAAAAAACGTCTCTTGAAACATTTGCAGAAAATCAAGTTATTCATAAAAAGTCAATTAAATTAGATTCGACATATCTCAAAATTAATATTAATCAAAATTAAAATAAGCAATCGTCAGAAAAAAATTCCTATCGTAAAACAAATTCCGAAAAGTGTAAACTTTGAATTGCATCGCTATTATGAGACATTTTCAAAAGGATCAAACTTTATCTGAACATTTTCTATGAACAGAATGAAGTATGCAACTCGAATCAATCAACCCGTTCCCTTTTGATATGCAAATATTTGGAGGAATGTGCAAGTTTGCGAAACTTTTAAAGTGATATTTGTGTGTTATAACTGCAAAACTGAATGCAAGCGGTAGAAATTTGCAGAAAACTAAGTCATACTTCAAAATATTAATGTTTTTTCTGCAAGAATGAAAAAGAATGATATTGAAAAAATAGAATCCCATAAACTTTGACCTGAAGAACGTTTGAGATAAATTCAAATGATGACCTAATTTGTTTCGTC